CACTGACAGGTTGGGAGCAGCAGGTGGTGTGTCCTACCTTGGACCACTCCTTGGCAGGGGCCCCCTGAGGCTCTACCTCACAGCCTAGGGTTCCAAACTTGGTATCTGTAAAGGGGAAAGGCAGCAGGAATGCACCCATACAATGAACACTGTGCCAGATTTACAGTCGGCAGACTCAGTCACAAAAGAAAGATTCACCCTCCTGCAGCAATGAAATAAACGGCTGTAAATTAAGAGACTGGACATTCTGTGGACATCAAATGCAAGATTCTTGGAGTGAGAGCACCTGAGTTCTAATCCCAGTTCTTGCACTTTTAGATCTGTCGCCCTCTTCATGGAATAATCATTCACTGCTCACCCACTGAGAACTAAGTGTTGAACTTGGTACCAAGGCTGTATTGTGGAATTGCTCCGGTGGGATTAATTTCTAGTGGGGAGGCTATCAACAAACATAAAAATCAAGAAAAGTGCCAGACAGCCATAAGAACAGGTGGCAACTTCAATGTCATGATGCATTCAGGAGTGACTGGGAATGCCACTTACTAAAGTCAACAGGGATAAGAATGGCATCTATCAAAGACTGCCAAGCACAAGTTTAGGGGAGGGTGTGGAGAAAGAGGAGCTCTTATGCACTGGGGGGTGGGAATATAAATTGGTGCAGTTATTTTGGAAAACACCTTTGGACCTTTCTTTAAAAATAAAAGTAGAAATACCATATGCTGTACCCCACTCCTGGATCTATTCAAAGAATACAAAACCATCAACCCAAAAATTATATGCACTGATGTTTGTTGCAGCATTATCCACAATAGCTAACATGAATGCAAAATAAGTGCCCATTGATCAGCGACTGGAGAAAAACATGATGTATACGCACAAGAGAGAATACTAGTCGGCTATAAGGAAAAATGAAATTTTACCATCATCTACCCCTGATAATTTCATATTTCTGTTTAAATGATGGAAAAGGCCCTTAAAAAATGTTAAAACCAGGACCTCCCTGGTGGCAAAGGGGTGAGTCTCAGCACTATCAAGCTATGGCCCGTCACTGCAGCATGAGTTCAATCACCAGCCAGGGAGCTAACTCAGATGGCGCAGCAGACCTCTCCTGTCTCACCAGCTGCTCCCCTCAGCAGTGAGTTTCAGTAGATCAGCCAGTTCTGCTCCCCACTCTGTCTCTGATGAATCCTCTCACTCCCCTTCCACCTCTGGCCTACGCCCCAGCTCTTGTATGCATAAATAAATAAATCTTTAAAAAAAAGTCAAATCCTTACACATAGCATAAAGTAAAATAATATTGAATGAGGGCTAGGTAAACAATCCCAATAACAATGTAAAATGCACAAGTATTTTTATAATACCAGAGTTTTAGATTGTCCATACTCAAGGATTTGAGGAAGAGGGGAAAAAAGAAAATCTTCAGAAACCTAGAGATTAAATTTTCAATATACTATTAACAAGTTTTCTTCCACTCCAATCTCAACCTGACTGCCACATCCAGTCTCCCAAAAGGAAGAAACTAGAGAAGCAGCTTAGAGTCAAAATTCTCCTTAACGAAAAAAATTCCTTTAAAAAAAGTAAAAAACCAACAAATACAGCATTGAACACACCCAAGGATGAGCTTTTAAAATATCCATTATATATATATATATGAGTCCTTTGACTTAATCTGAACTGAAAATTCCTCTTTAACGTGTAAATTTTGGCATACCATTAGACATTGCCGTTGTAAACTAATCATTGACTTAAAATCATCAAAAAAAAATTCCTTCCAAAAAGCAAAACTGAAGCTAATAGGCCCGTTCAAATCCAAGTTACCCTACAGACTTTTGCAACATAATCCAGGCAAAAGAATATGATTCATATCTCCATTATGCAACAGCTAACTTTTGAATGTTTTTTGAAATAGGTGCCACTAACAACAAAAAAGGAACAGTCACAACTTTGGTATTAAAACACTCCAAGCAACTTGAGAGTCTTTAAAAATATAAGAACTAAGTAATATAGATTCATGGAAGAACTTCAGAAAAAAATAAATAAGAGCAAAATCATAATTCCAAAAGGCTGAGATGACCACTATTAACATTCTAGTAGACTGCTTAATTTCATTTATTGTTTAGTTTATTATTTTTAGTGTATCATTTTTATTGAGGTGATGTTGGTCTACAATACTGTATATGAGTCAGACATACAGGTTCACACCTCTTCAGATACATGTTACCACAAGGCACCCACCACTAAAATATCCATAATTCTCCACCATTGGACCCCCTCCTGCCTGTGCTCCCTGCCCACCCCCTGCCCTGTCTCCAGTGGCCTCAATTTTAGAATCAGATTTCTAGTGTTTGTTTTGATTTAGTTTCGTCTGTTCCTTTTTTCTGTTAAATTTTCTTAAATTATTTTTCACAGAAAAGACTTCAAAGTACATATATTTTTACTTACTGTATCAAGAACGTTTCTGTGCATATATATGCATATACATAACTTTATTTTTTAAGGATGTTTTGGGTGGTCTTTTTTTTTTTTTTTAAGATTTATTTATTTATACAAGCACCAGGTATAGTCAGAAATGCGGGAGGGTGAGAGAATGCACCAGAGCCAGAGCGGGGAGCAGAGCAGGCAGAAGGACCGAAGTGCACTGTTGAGGGGAGCAGCGGGCGGCAGGAGAGGTCTGCGCGCCATGTGGGACCCTCACCGGGGGCCGGGGATCGAACGGGCACTGCAGAGACTGCAGGCAGCTTCGAAACCCAGCGCTCAACCGCTGTGCCACCAGTGAGGCCCTATACATAACATTTTTATGAATGCATGATCTCCTACTTTGTGAATATACTCTAATTTAACTAGCTCCACTGAGATTCTATGTAATCCATTCAGATGCCCTACACTAAAGGAACAGAGTAGATTTAAAGAACTATTTCCTCAAGTTAATTGCCCAAGAAATCCATTTTTGAATTACAAATTAAAACTTGGTCTCCTTTCAAAATACTTTGGGAAATAATGACTTAAGAAATCCTCAATATTGGATTTTTACAGCATTTCACATTTTTTTCTATTATTAACATGCTGTGACCAACTTCTTGCATATACATTTCTGTGTGTTCCTGAGGAAAAACCTCAAAAAATAAAGATTTCCTGAGCAATGAAGTGCTTATGTTAAAAGCAAGTGATTATTTCTGCCCAACTGTCCCCCAATAGAATTGTTGGTCTTTCGAAGTTTCATTAAGGAATAGTTTGGAAGTTATGAGTATTCATCATATACAACCAGTATTTTTAAACCTATATATGACTATTTTAAGGACATGGGTATGGGTAGAATACATGGTTATAAATATAAATAAAAGGTCTTATTGTGATTGAGTTTGACTCAGAAAACTATTTAAGGATATGCCTCCTCACATACAACATGACAAGCATGGGTAGGGTAATCTCTCACCTTCCTCTTTGTCACATATACACATTTCTGAATATACATTCTTTGCTCTTAACAAATATTAATACCACCTCCTATCTACATAGAGCTTCATTCTACTCAGATATTTACAACAGATGTTAGAAAGAAAAGGCAGTCTTTAAGAAAGTCTATTAAGCAGCATCATGGTGTCGATCCTTCAAGAGACACAACAGTAGCCACATATTTATAGTCAAGACTATAATAAGGAAAATCTTTTCCAACCAGTCAACACCAGTGTCATGGAGGGAAATGTCTATTTCTAGGTATAAATTTAGAACTGATTTTCAGTGCCTATTTCTACAGTTTCAAATGATAAGAATAAGCTCCTACCATCCATAAAGTTGGCTCACCCAGCAAAAACAGGCTTTGAGTTCCTTTTTGCTTTTAAAGTTGACACTGGATGTAATTTTATTCCTCAAAGTCACTCTCAAAGTTACTTAAGTATAACGTTCACACCCAGGGTGGGGTTCTGTGTAATTTTCAAAGTTCAGAAGGGCCATGTCTACTCAAAAATATTGCAAGAATCTATGGCTGAATCATCTTTGAAGCTTTTTTAACACAGAAATTTTTATTCAATAGATCTTGAGTGGAGCCCATGTCTCTGCATTGTTTTTTAATTTCCCAGTTGATTTATTTGTACAACCAGAGTCAAAAATCACTCCGTATAAAAGATGGGAGAGGAAGTACATCCTTAGGTCCTCAATTTTAATGTTCCTCTGGGAGCCATTAAGCTTAGTCTAGTTTATTAGATTGCCTAGTTCAAAATAGAACCTTAAGAAGGTTCACAATAAGGGCCTCCCTGGTGGCGCAAGAGGTTAACCACCGCATTATGAAGCGATCTGCAGACTCTGCAGCATGAGTTCGATTCCTGGCCAGCGAGAGAGAAATCCACATGGCGAAGCAGACCTCTCTTGTCTCGCCCACTGCTCCCCTCAGCAGTGTATTTCAGTCAGTCTACCTGTTCTGTTCCCCACTCTGTCTCTGGGAATCCTCTCACCTCCACATCTCTGGCCTGTTCCCCAGCTCTTGTATGCATAAATAAATAAATCTTTTAAAAAAAGGGGGTCACAAGAAGTTTCAAAAGGGGAAATTATGACAGAACACTTACTGATCACCAGAAGGGCTGGGGCTGGTACTCTATAGTAGCAGAAGCAAAACCCAAGAAGACCCATACTTCTAGAAACCATGGAATTCCCACTTGAAGCATATAATCCCTTCAACTTCATAAACCAGGCCAAAAAGAAAATAATGCTTAGCTATATTTTTGTGTTTAAAAGGAGTGCCTTCTAAATGCATAGCATTCAACAGGTAGCAGCTTCGTCGAGGAATGCCAGCCAACATGTGATGAGACCAAATCAGGTTGAGAATTAAGATAGAAGCCTCAGGGAGATTAAATTACATTTACAGAGTAACAGTCATTTGTCAAATTATGTTTCTCAAAGGAATTATGTCTCACAAGAACAATGCAAAACAAGTCCCAAAACTTCTATCTACCAAGATTATATATGTATATATAAATCTGCCATTTTCTTAAGTTTCCATTACCTACCAGATCTGGACTTAATGATGTCACTGAACTCATTCTGTCCATCATCAGGTCTGGCCTCCTGTTCTCCATACTTGGCCATCTTTGCTGAATTTCAATATAATCCAAAGACTTTACTTGCGGTTTTCTATGATGGTCAACATCAATGCCTAAAGAGAAAAGGAAAATAGTAACTTTAAAGATATATATACATGTATCTTAATATATAACCATATGCAGTTTCATTTGTAGTAACCATTCATGCAGCAATTATTCAGTAACTATTATATGTAAGGCAATGTGGATAGACTAGTAAAAAGAGAAAGAACCTCTGCCATTATGAAGTGCACAGACACTAAGCAGTTCATTAGGCAATGAATTATTTCATTGCAATACTAATGTGCTGTAAGTGTACAAAGTAGAATCATAAAGTAATATGAGCAGACAGCAGGGGAATCTGAACTGCCCTGGACTATCAGAGAAGGCTTTCTTTAGAAGTGAAATTTGAGCCAAGCCTTCAAGGATGAGAAGAATTTAATCAGTCAAAAAAAAAACAAAAGAGGTGGGGAAAAGGTGAGAGCCTCCCATGTGAAATGGCAGGAAGAATCATGAGATGTTCAAGCAGCTGAGCATAAGTCAGTATTTTGCAGCGAAGGCAGCCAAGAATTGAGAGAGATTAAAGTGGGTGAGGCTGGGTAGATAGGACCAGGGACGAGGACTTGAAGACCTTTCTCTGAACAGCAGTAGACATCTCTAGATAGTTTTAACCCAGAAATAACAGAATCAGATTTTACTTCTTAATAGATCATTTCCGGTTTATAGGGGAACCAGAGTGATGAGTGGGGAGCCACAGACATGGGAGAAGACAGCAGTATTCGTTGAAGAACCTAGGACACAGGTGTAGAGGTGTTGCCTGAAAATTTCTTTCAACTCTGTGTTTGAAATTTTTTCATAGACAAATGTAGCAGGGGGACCCCTACCCTTAACCAAATGATCATCCCTCACATGACCAATAACAGGGTGTCGTGTGAAGCAACGGAAAATATGCTCTGTCTTCATAGTATCCTTGCCAAAATGCTGAATGTGAAGTTGATTAAGAGCAGACAAGTTTAAACTATGGGCAGTCTTCAAAATAAGTTGCCTGGACTCTTCAAAATTGTCAATATCATGGACAACAAATACACTGGGGAGAACTCTGTGGGTTAAAGGAGACTGAATAAACATAACTAAGTGTGATCTCTAATAGAATTCATAATTTTAAAAATAAATATTTGGAATATAAATTTAAAAATCTGAGTTTGGGCTATTTATTATATGGTATTACTTTATCAATATTAAGTTCTTTAATATTGGCTAATGGCTTCCTCATTATGCAAGGGGATATTTTTGTTGTGAGACACATGATGAAATATTTAGCAATAAAATGTGATAATATTTTCAATTTAAGTTCAAAAGGACAGCATAAATCTGTCTATGTATGTGTATTTATACACACATATACACACACAGAAAGAGACTCAGAGGGGGAGAGAGAGAGAGAGAGAGAGAGAGAGAGAGAGAGAGAGAGAGAGATGAAACAGACATTAGAATATAAGTGAGGAACCTAGTTAAAGAACATATGGGCATTTGCTATTCTATCTTTTCTGCTGTAATGTTACAAGCAGGAAATGATTTTGACCTAAACAAGGGTAAATAGAAAAGAAATAGGTGAATGTGTGGGACAGTAGATGTTAAATAAAGAAGGTCAACAGGATGTGGAACTGAGTATGAGAGGTTCAGGATATGAAAGTGCAAAATGACTGCCCGATTTTGACTTGGATAACTGAGTAGAGGATGAGTCATTTACTGAGCTGAGGAACACTGGAGGAAAAGCTGCAGGAGGAAGAAATAATTAATGTGGTTTGGACTTGCAGAGTTTGACGTGCCTCTGTGATATATAAGGGGAGATAACAAAAAGGTCTGGTTTCAGGAATATTCTAGATTATATAGAAATCTGAAGTTAAATATGATAACTACTGACATAAATTTTATTCCTATAAGTACAGCATGTGAATTCTGTTGAGCACAGATATCAACACACAAAAAAATTTTAATCTTCAGCAATTAGACTGTAAGGAACATCTTTAGATGGAAAGAAGTGAACATCATATCCTGCAGTATCACCTTGTCTTTAAAAATAGCAAGCATCAGAGGATGACATTGCTGAGCACTTCCAGGAACACACCACCCCAACAAAATCCAGACAGAATCGGAAGTCATTTTAGTTTGGCAACTTGGCTCTACCTTAACAGTCTTTCAAATAAAATTAATAAATAAAAATAATCATTTCATTGGGAATCTAACAATCAACACATCCCAACAGTAATTTGCATATAATGGACATGAATTCACATATTACAACACATATCAGAACCAGAACTTAGTGCTAGCTAGCTGGGACTGGACAACTCAATTCTTTAATTCAAGGACACATCATCAGTACTAATACTTTATATTTTACTGTAAAATATATTTATAAATATATTTAGTATTTTATATTATAGTGTATGTGATATGTTATATTCAAGGAAGCTCCATATATTGTTTTATAATAATATAAACATATGTAATATACAATTTTTCCTTACTTGCCAGTGAAATCATGTGTTCTAATAATAAATGAACCAAAGTTCCTAATGAAATAGTTTTAAGTGTTTAAGAGTTTGAGATAGGGCCTCCCCTGGTGGCGCAATGGTTGAGCGCTGGGCTGTGAAGCTGCCCACAGCCTCTGCAGCGCCGGTTCAATCCCCGGCCACCAGAGAGGGTCCCGCATGGTGCACAGACCTCCCCTGCCACACCTGCTGCTCCCCTCAGCAGTGTATTTCATCAGTCTGTCTGTTCTGTTCCCTGCTCTGTCTCTGGTGAATTCTCTCACCCTCCGGCACTTCTGACTGTACCCAGTGCTTGTATAAATAAATAAATAAATCTTTAAAAAAAAAAAAAGTTTGATATAGATGAAGACTCATAAACTGCTAAAGCTTTAGAAAAAATTTCCTCTACAGTAGGGAAGAAAATAAGGCTTGAATCATCAGTTTGTCAAATTTTATGAGTATGAAAAACTTTTCATTATTTATGTTGGTCTATTACTATTAATACTTTATGGATTATGATTAAGTACCTTTTGGAGGGTACCTTTTCGAAGGTACTCTGATATACACACATATACTGTGTATGTATACATATCTATATACCTGCAAAAGATTTGCTGAATTCTCAAGTGTATTTTAAATTGAAAATCAAAAACTTGGGGGGAACGGCGGGGAGAAGAAGGACTAGGCTCAAAACAAGGGGGGGCGGTGCAATTGTATGGGGAATATAACCAAAATGAAAATGCAAACATTGTGCAAAAATGAAAAATGATGTAAGAATTATATAAAATAAAATATTAAAAAATAATAAAATCAAATCAAAAACTTAGCTCAGAAGTATGCATACGAAATTTTATCATGGGAAGTCAGTTTCCCTATAAATTCTCTTTATAGAAAGCAACTAATTGTTCCCTCTGAGCGATATTTCAGCCAATGGTCTTCAATGCTTCCCTAAGACTTTTCCCATTCTGTGAAAAAGTGCATGTTCACATGGACTTACTTTATTTGCACATCAATATTATAATATTTTATTTGCATTATTTTGCCACTCTCCTTAAGATAAGTTCTCAAATTTTCTCCCCTAATAGCCAAAATTCATTACACACTACAAAGATGCCTGCTACCCAGAAAAGAGGGATGGGAGGACAAGAGATTTAGACAGAGCTGCTGTCTCTTGTCACCCATGGGCAGGGGGTCCAGCTGAATCCATGACAAAATATACCTCCTTCTAATATGCTAAATGCTGCCACGATTTATAACAATAATCAGGAGACAGACTCACAGTTCCATCACTAATATTCCTAGATGTGACCTTCTTCTTCCAAATCTATGAAACTGAAGAAAGTCAACTTCCAATCAGAGCTGGTGAGAAGCTGAGAATGAATTGGATGTGACTTTAGAAGCTTCCATTCCTTTACAATTTTAATCTATGGTGAAGACTCACTCCTCTGGGATTGTTGCCTCCATAAGGGTGCTCTGCGGAGTTCAGCCAGGCATTTCTCACTCTATACATTCAACTCTGTATTCACCAGCTCACTTCAAAATCTTACTGTCACATGGACCAGAAGCCCTTTGTGTGGCAATAAACCTGGTGTGAAAGTAGGGATGGTCCTAAAGGCAAAACTAATATTTAAATTTCAAAATAACTTGGGAATTACACAAAATAAGAATACAAATCTGTTTAACAATGTGTGATTGTAATGGAAACTGGCTGTATGTCCTTGGGCAAAAACTACTCAATCATTTACACTGGGAAACCAAACTTTGGGATGCAAGAGATATTAGCAAGGGGTGGCAAAGGGCGAGAATTTAACACCCTGCTGGAAAGCACAGCGAAAGAAAGAAACGCCCAGCGCCAAGAACTGCCATTCACTCGGAAGCGCTCCAAGGGAAGGTTAATGCTACAGTGATTAATACTGTTTACAGGGGCAATAAATTTTAGGTAAACACCCAAAAGAGAGTTACAGAGCTGTTTCCCAGTCACATAAATGCGGGTAGAGGAGGCGGAGAATGACTCCAGGCAAATGTTGGCCCTTAGCGCCGGGTACTCCGCAAGCTGAAGCACCCCTGAGCTTCGCGTTCCTCTAACGCTGAATACCCCGCGCCCCAGCAACTACCACTTGGAGAAGGCCCCCCTCAGGGGAGGGATCACCCCACTCCACCCGACTTCCTGCAGGCAGCACAAGTTACAAAGCAAAGGATGCGGTAGCTGCCCCGGTTCCGAAAGCCCAAGAGGTACAGCGCCCACCCCCGACCCCAGACCCCAGACCAGAGGAATTAGGGTTCTGTATAGTTGAACGCGTGGCAGCCGGTGCATCCGCTCATCCTAGTGCGGCTGGAGGAACTGACCCCCAAGGCCTTGGGGCCAGGGTGACCTGGAGGCTGGGAAAGAGGAAGCTCTCTAGACCATCCCAGAGCTTGGGGCCAGGAGACCCAGGTTAGACCCGGGACTCTCTAATTCAACAAAGTGAGAATCTTCCAGCTCTGAGAGCTCCAGCACGTTCTCTCCTCCCCTTGAAACCACCCTGGATCGAGTCCCTTTGCTCATCTGGGACTTGGAAGTTGCACAGCCTAAAAGAAGTTGTCGGTTTTGCAAATGGCCTTGGGCACTCTGAGCCTCAGACCTAGGACCAAAGGGGGATACGAATTACCTTATCGTCTGAAGCCAGGGATGCCAAGGGTCCGGAAAGACAGGCGGGGCCACCGCGCCGGACTACGCGCAGACTGGACGCCCCCCCGCCAGGAGCCCCATCCTCGAGATAAGTGCCCCAAGTGGGCCAGCACGTTTCCTACCAGGTGAACAGCTGGGAGTTGCTCCCCTGCCCGCCAACCACACGGCCACCCTCTCCCCAGCCTCTCCGGGGGGGAACACCTCCCGGGCCCCGCCTTCCAGGGCTGGAGCGCGTGTGACAGGCCCTCGGAGGAGGCCACGTCCCCTCTAGGCGATCTCGGGGCCCGCGCGAGTCCGGGCGCGCGACCCTCTTACCCCCGCGGGCGGAGGATCGCAGGACACAGGGGGCCGCCCAGAACCAGTCCGAGTTGTTTGGGTTGTTGGCTCGTAGCCGGTTCCCCGAACCTGCTCAGCCGAGCCCGCTCCACGATGCTGGCTGGCATTCTCTCCAGCCCGAGGGAAGCAGAATGAGGTTCCGCGGAAAGTTGGCCACCTCGCAGACTCTGCCTGGAGTGGGGGCTCGGGCCGCCGGGGCCGCCGGGGCCGGGCGCAGGAGCCGCAGAGCAGCCCACCCGCCCCGCGCCCCGCGCACCCCGCGCGCCCCGGTCGCGCTCCCATCGCGCAGCCCGAGGCTCCACCGCGCACGGGCTTACCTGCTCCCGCGTCCTGGCGGGCCCCCGGCTCCGCGCTCTGGGTTTGGGTCGTGGTGATCGCTGGGGGGGTGTGCGAGCGTGAGTTGGGTGGTGCGATGTTTTTTTTGAAAATGAAACGTGGAGGACAAGATCCGAAAGAAAAAAAATTTTTGGACACTCGCTAGAAAACGCCCCTAACTTGTGCAATCTTCCTTCCCGCAGTTCCGCCAAAAACAAAACAGTCCCAGCGCAACCTGGAGAGGGGCGCGCAGGCACCAAGTTTGCCCAACACTGCAGAGTTGTCCGCGACCCCCGAGAGGGGGGCACCGCTCCCCGGGATTCCCCAATCGCCTTCGGGAGCCGGAGGCTCCTCCTCGCCCCTCGGCGGGAGAAAGCCCGCGGCGGGCTGCGGCGGCCGGCTCCCCTCCCGGGAGAAAAGGCGACTCCACAACTTTGTGCGCGAGCGGCCAGCCCCCCAGGCTCCTCCTCCTGCTCCTCCTCCCCGCCCCGGCCTGCCCCTTTGTTGGCGAGGAGCGCGGCCGGCCGCCGAGGGAGGGTGGGGCGCGGGACCCGGCGGTCGGGCGCTGCGCCCCTGCGGAACCGGCTAGCGCCCGGGCACCCGAGCCCGGCTCTCCGGGGAAGGGGCCGAGAGGGTCTGATCGAGGCGCTCCCGCTCCACCCCGGCTCTGCCGCCCGACCCCCGGCGCTGCAACTTTGCTCCGGGAGAGCTGCCCGTCTCAGCTCGGGCTTGGCCCCGGCCCGGCCCCGGCGGCGGCTGCGGGCTGGGCTCGGGGAACGTGGCGCCCAAGTCACCTGATCGTGGGCCCAGGCGGTCGGCGCCCTCCCGCGCGCCCTCCGGACCCCGCGATCGGCTCTCCTGGGGCGGTGCAGCTCGGGGAGCGAAGCCTGCGTGCGCGGAGCCCAGGGCTAGAATGGATGCCTCTCCTAAACACTGTCCCCTTTATTCAGATTATCCGAGAACACGAGTCACGCCCCCCACCCAAGCCAACCCAGTCTCCAGAGGCGATTTTTTTCCCTCCTTTGCAGAAAAATCTCCATTTGGCCCTTCGTTTACCCCCTCTGAGGTTGCTAGTATTTTGGCCCTGGTACCAAGGGTATATTTATTTCATCTACTTTTCTCCGAGTCGTTTTTCATGTTAAAAAAAACTGAAATTTCGTTTGACTTGCCTTTATACACACAAATAGTGTTTGTACTGACCTTATGTTTCCAATATACACAAAACACATACACATCTCATAGAGCCTGTTTCAAGACTGGGAAGAAATGAGTGTGTATGTATGTGCATGTGTGGGTAGGTAGGTAGTAGATAGATATTTGCCTATTTCATTCCCCAGGTATTCCTGGCACTGGTAAGGGAAAGAAAAAATAACCCAGGTTTCTAATTCTTATAAACAAAGAAGAAAAGATGATAGGAAAACCACCCCTGGCTTATTTCTGATTTAACATATGAGAATTAGCAACTTACAAATTAGTAAAGATAAACCACTGAAGACCTTAAAGGAGTTTTTCAGGAAGAAGTCACTAGCCCGTTTATTAGTTACGAAATGAAAGTTCTTCTGTTCCTATGTTGGGGGTAGGAGTGAAGTAGGGAGGAGGTCTTGAAACAGCGTTCCTTGTAAAGTCTCCAGCTAAACTGCCTTTGGGAAATTGTATTCTTATAGACCAAATAAAATCCAGAGGATTAACTTGAAATCGGCATAATTTATTTATTCACTTTTATTCCATCATTCATTTGTGAAAATACTAAATTGGGGCCTGTCGGGTCTACTGATACTGTGAATAATGTAAAATAAATCTGATAGAGATCTTGCCCTAAAGAACTTCAAATCTAGCCAGATAAGGCATGTAAACTAATGAGATGCAAGATCAGTGATAAATGTCCTGAGACAGAGTCAGGAAAGAAAATAAAGACTTTAAAGCTCCTCATCCTGGTCTGTATCCTGGTTGAGCTGATGGAAATTCAGAATTCCTCCTTTAAAATAAAACCTCATCAGAGTATTTGAGGACTTCCTTACATAAAATTGTGTAAATGAAAAGTACTTTGTAATTGCAAATTGCCACACAAATATTTATTCACTTAAATTTTTTTGAAAAACGTAGACATTGAGGACTAATAATTTCTATTTTTCATCGCTGAGGGACCGCTTAGCTAAGTTTTCCCAAAGACCATAAAGAAAGGAGCATAAAGGACAACAGGCCCATCTGTGTTGGAATGTCTCCAGCCCACCCCCAGGCTTCAGTGGTATTAGCTCTGGTATCTGGAGACCTGTGCCCTGTTTGTAGCCCTCTTCCCTTCGTGCAAAGACTGATAACCTTTCTAGGCCATGGGTGCAAGAGACCAAAGAGCCATGATGGAATAACCAAGAGATCCCAAGCTGGTCTTGTTCCCCATTTTTTTTTTTTGTAACTGGAGAAACTACATTTACTGGGAGATTTTGGCCACTGAGGGCTACATTTCTATGGCACAGAGAACGTGATCTTTACAGACTGAAAATAGAGTTGGGGGGAAAGAGGAGACAGACCTCTGGGAGGTGGGTAGCTGTTGGTGTACCTGCAACCAACTTTCCAGCAGCAGCCGATGCAGTAGGCACCTGGGTCTGTAAGGACGGTGCTTGGTGGGATTTGCCCACCCAGCTCTGAATTGTCTGACAGTCACCACAAAACAGTGAAATTTTAAGAAAATTGAGCTGAAATCACTGCAATAAAGCTCTTAACAAAGAAGAAAATAGTATATGAGTGCTGTGTCTATAGATACATATATAAGCATGTTTATACACATATAAATGCATGTGTTTATATATTATATATAAAACATGATTCTACATGCATAATATTCATTTACAGAAAAGTATATCCTAATATGAGTCAAAAAGAAAACTTTCTTACTAAAGTTTGTGCAGGGCCTCCCCGGTGGCGCAGCGGTTGAGCGCTGGGTTGCGAAGCTGCCCTCAGCCTCTGCAGTGCCGGTTCGATCCCCGGCTGCTCCCCGGCCACCGAAGGAGGGTCCCACATGGCGCGCAGACCTCTCATGCCGCCCGCTGCTCCCCTCAGCAGTGTACTTCGGTTCTTCTGCCTGCTCTGCTCCCTGTTCTGGCTCTGGTGAATTCTCTCACCCTCCCGCGCTTCTGACTGTACCCAGTGCATGTGTAAACAGAACAAACAAACAAATAAATAAATAAATAAACATGCCTCTATAAAAAAAAAAAAAAAAAAAAAAAAAAACTAAAGTTTGTGCAAAGTATATAAATGCAGTTTTCCTTTAAACAACAGAAACGGAGAAATGCACAATGTTTAAGTTCCTCCTTCAGTGTGTTTCTTGGTGTGGACAATTACCTTTTCTCTCATTTTTATTAGGTCAAGAAACTATAGATCTGTGGCTTGTACATACTAGATGCTATGGTATTTGCTGAATATTGTTGCTAAATTCTTCAAACAGCTAATACTTACTGTGCAAGTTAAAGACAGATATAAATAAAATTCCTTGTGATACAATTAAGGAGATGATGATGATGAAGATGCATAAAACTTTTCAAGGACAATTAGCAAAAAGGCAGAGCTTCTCACAATTTACTGAGCTTTAGAATCACTGGGGGGCATTTTTAAAAATCAGATTCCTTGCCTGCTCCCAGAAATTCTGATTTACTAGATAAATCCTGATTTACTGGTGTGGCCCAGAAAAGTGCAATTTATCAAGCAACCCATGGGGTCAGACCAAGAGGATTGGGGAATAACAGCACTTTCAGCTATGGTGCCCTAGTGGCTGGCCTCAAATGGGCCACTTTAGATGATTGGAAGGGTCTAGAAATTGCCCTACAAGAAAAAAAATCCATACTGGATCAATCATAATTTCAGAATAACCACAGTTAGCTTTATCTCTTTAAATTCTAGTGTTTCTTTCCATTGCAGATCACCCTTGAGATTACTGAGCATCTTTTAACACCCTAGGAGCATTCTGTTCCCAGTTTCACCTGGCCTGGAGCTGCTGGGTTCTGAGCAAGTGCTGGAAGGGGGCAGGAGTCAGGGGGAGAGGACCACTGAGAATGCAGGGTCCAAACAAGCCAAGTCTAAATAAAAGGACTAAGTGGGGCCTCCCTCGTGGCCCAAGGGGTTAAGCACAGCACTGCAAAGCTATCTCACAGCCGCTGCAGCATGAGTTCAATCCCCGGGCAGGGAGATACCCACCTGGCACAGCAGAACTCCCCTGTCTCACCCACTGCTCCCCTCAGCAGTGTATTTCAGTAGATCTGCCTGTTCTGTTCCCCACTCTGTCTCTGGTAAATTGTCTCATACCCCCACACCTCTGGCCTGTACTACAGTTCTTGTATGCATAAATAAATCTTTAAAATAAATAAATAATAGGACTAACTTATCAGGAAGGAAAGAACAACTGGTAGAACAAAAGAGAAAAAAGAGGTTCCAAAAGTAAAGGAAGCTATAAGAAGAGAGTAGAGGATGTAATCCCAGAACAACTTCAAGGTGTACCTCTAACTGAGAACCAGAAAACCTTGAATAAAACTCCTGGCATAATCACACTTGTTACTTTTCCTTTATTTCATTTACTGGGTATAATTTTACAATGTTGGCATTGCAAAAGATTTTTCAGTCTCTCCTTCAACCCCTAATTTTTTCATTAAAGAAACAAATGAGAGAGGCAAAACAGGCTAGAGACTACAGTAAAATAAAAGTCTATTGGAGAGAAATGTCCAAATTTTACTAAAAAGTGAAAAACATCTTTATGTTTTAGAAATTCACTGTTAACCTGAAGGAGGCGGGAGAGGAGGAAAGGAGATAGTGTAGCCGAAAGAGAACAAGACTGGATTTAAAGTGACGTAAGTGCTAATTATTATAATGACAGTTATTAGCTGTATGAGCTCGTGGAACTTATTTTACCTTTAGCTTCCAGTCTGTGAAATAGAAAGAATACCTCCCTCAAATGTTGTTGTGGGATTCTAATGAGTTAGTTAATATAAACCATTTAATCACAGACTAGTCCTTTTTATACTGTTTTGGTGTTCCATCCCTTTTCTCTTTTTTTTAAGATTTATTTGTATTTATGCACACAAGAACTGGGGTACAGGCCAGAGGTGTGAGGGCTAAGAGGATTCGCCAGAGACAGAGTGGGGAACAGAATAGGCAGATTGAGTGAAATACACTGCTGAGGGGAGCAGTGGGTGAGTCAGGAGAGGTTGGCTGTGCCATGTGGGTTAGCTCCCTGGCCAGGGATCAAACTCATGCTGCAGTGGCTAGTGATAGCTTGATAGTGCTGCGATATAAACCCTTGTGCCACTAAGGAGGTCCCAATCATCCCCTTTCTCTTAAGACAACTTGCTGGGTTTTATGTGATCATCTTCATTTATTATTTCATTGGAAAAAAATTCTGTGCTTCTATTATCTTCTGAGAGACTAGG